GAGAGAGAGAGAGGGAGAGAGAGAGAGAGAGAGAGGTGAGAGAGAGAGGTGGGCAGAGAGAGAAGCAGACAAACAGTGACAGACACTGAAAGAGAGAGGTGATTAGAGCCACCTTTCTACTCACCAACTATGTGCTACTCAGGCTGTCCCAAAAGAAGTAATCAGGCCTTAGGAAAAGAGACCTGTTGCAACACATGTCTCATCTACAAAGAATGTGACATGGCTGATGGTTCTGCCCAGATAGCTTTTTCACACTATGAACAAGGGCAAAAGGAAGGAAAAGGGGGCCTAGGAAAGAGGAAAGTGGAAAGGAGAAGGAAGAAGAGATCCCTTGAATGGAACAGCAATAACAGCCATGGGGCAGATTCCTAGATAGCTGGGACTCCCAAAAAAGAGTAAGACTGAAATTCGGTGGGGAGCTTGATCACCTGCAGACAGAAGGGGCTCCCACAAGAAGAGACCCTTCAATCTCTTGCCCCAGGAAATGGGAAAATAAAAGTCCTATCAATTCTTCAGAAAACATGATTTGGAGTATAGAAACTTGATCTACTTTTTTATTTGAAGACAGGATCTCATTATGTAGCTATGGATGGCCTGGAATTCTGTATATAGACAAGGTTAGTACTGAACTCAGAGATCCACCTGCCTCTGCATCCTAAGTGCTAGAAATGAAGGTGTAAACCACCATTCCTGGCTTGATACACACTTTTTGTACTTCTCAGCCATCCACAAGTATTGAGTCACCAGGTTATTCCAAAATTTTTATAAAAATAAGCAACAGTTTACGGAATAATACTAGTGAGAAATAAAATTACAAATGACAATGACCATGACTCTCTGAGAAGGCCACACTCATGCTTCTGGATGTGTCTTCTTCTGAGCATCTCTTTTTCTTACCCCTTATACCTAAGCCTGTACTAAAATTAAAATAACTTCATTAAATCCAACTCTGATTCATAAAAAAAAAATCTTCTGAAAAAAAAAGCATTACTTAAAAATGTAAACTTAAGCGTGTTCAAAAATTTAAGAGCACATGAAAGAGTAAAAAGATACAGTATTTCCAGATTACTGGGTGAGAAAGAAAGAACAACCCGAGGAGGGGTCAACAGTAAAGGGAAAAGCAAAACAGCTACTCCAATGGACACACCTGTTAAATAGGATCTTCAAGATGTGTTCAAAAAAATGCAACATAAAACCCTACATTGCCGGGCGGTGGTGGCGCATGCCTTTAATCCCAGCACTCGGGAAGCAGAGGCAGGCAGATCTCTGTGACTTCGAGACCAGCCTGGTCTACCAGAGCGAGTTCCAGGACAGCCTCCAAAGAACAGAGAAACCCTGTCTCGAAAAACCAAAAAAAAAAAAAAAAAAAAAAAAAAAAAAAAAAAAGATCCTGGGAAAACAAAAAAGGAAAGGTTATAATTTAATAGTGATATCTTGTTGTTTTTTTGACACATCTGGCAAGAGCACAGACACCTCAACTCAGGAACTGCCTACATCAAATTGGCTGGTGGGAATGTCTGTGGGGCATTTTGTTGACCATTAATTGATGGAGGTAGGCCCAGCACACCGAGGACATTGCTACCCTAAAGAGGTGGTCCTGAGTTGTATAAGCAAGCTAGATAAGCATCCGGGCAGTGGTGGTGCACGCCTTTAATCCCAGCACTCAGGAGGCAGAGGCAGGGGGATCTCCCTGTGAGGTTGAGACCAGCCAGATCTACAGAGCAATTTCCAGGACAGACTCTAAAACTACAGAGAAATCCTGTCTTGAAAACCAAAAATGAAAAAAAGAAAAAGCTAGATAAGCAAGCCAGATGAAGGAAGTCAAGTCAATAAGCAGTGTTTCTCTGTGGTCTCTGACTTAGTCCCTGCCTTCAGGTTTCTACCTTCAGGTCCCATCTTGGCTTCTCTTGATGTTGGACCATAAAGTAAAAAATGAAACAAGCCTTTCCTCCCCAAGCTGCTTTCGGTCATGTTGTTTATCACAGCAACAAAAAAAAGCAAACTAGAACCTGGACACAGGAAGAGGAGCATGGCCTCCATGCCAAGATCAGCACAGATAGCATCCTCTAAATACCAGTGAAAGGAAGTAGAAAATACTATAGCCAAAGCAGGGTGTTCAGGTGGACACTTGAGAACACTTATGTAGAAAGGCAAGGTGATGGTCTTCATGCCTCTCCAGAAACAGTTATAAGGCACAACTTGTCAGTGCCAGGGATTGCACCCAAGGCATCCAGGAAGTTCACAGCCTGTGTGAGATCAAGAATACACACAGAGTTTAACTCCAAAGGCTAGACCTAAACAAAAACCAAATTCACTCCCCAATTGGCATATTTAGTATAAAAATGAATAAGCAAAAATTAACAACAGTCTACAATAGAAAAAATTTAAACTATAAAACAAAGATTAGAGAAAATATTCTGAACAATTCTATGCCAATCTATAGAAAACTGACACAAGCAATGCCTGGGCCTGGTCAAGGTCTAGAGACCCATGGCTTCCAAAAGCACAGGACTGAGTCCAGGCAAGGAACACTATTGCTCCAGGAAGGCTAGCAGGCATATGGCCCACAGGACAGGGCCTGTGAAACCTGGGGATATTACCTGTGAGTTGCTCCAAGGTACCTACAGACAATACCTATTGTCACCTCTGTTACTGATGCTCAGAATCAGCATAGTGGCCACTCCAAGGTGTCTGCAGTGCTTGTACACACAAGGGCAGCCAGAGTGGTCCTCTCACCACAGGAAAGAACGCTCATCCCACATTTATCTGCAAACCTATCCCTATTTCTGTGGTGCTGACTATCATTAACTACAGAAATGATTAAATGTTAAAAATAAGATTCCAGCAGGTGGTGGTGGTACACACCTTTAGTCCCAGCACCCGGGAGGCAGAGGCAGGTGGATCTCTGTGAGTTTGAGACCAGCCTGGTCTACAAGAGATAGTTCCAGGACAGCCTCCAAAGACACAGAGAAACCCTGTCTCGAAAAGCCAAAGATTCCACTATGCCAGCACCAAATATACTGTTTCAGTTACTGTGTCTTCTGATAGGGCCAAGATCACCCCACTATGTGCAGCAATCTCAATCTCCCAGTAAGCTATATAGTGGCTGTTTCCTGTCAACTCTGGCATTATAGCTAAAGTCAGACTGGGGAAAGGACCTCTCTTGTTGGTGGTATGCATTGGCTCTTTGTCTATTCCCAACATGTACTGATTATTACATACTGATCCAATCATCCTTGGAGCAAAGTCCTGTTTTTAGTAGATTCTCTTAGGTTTTATGTAAGACAGCATTACCTAGGAATAATAGCATCTTTGTTCCTCTTTAAGTGTCTCATTCTTGTTTCCCTGCTGCTGGGAGAGGAGCTCTAAACACAGTAACATCCAATCAGTTATGCATTTTCTTACTCCTTGCTTCAGTAAGATAATGATTCTATTTCATTAAAAGCATCACAACCATTAAGAACTCACAAACTAGGAAGCTATGTCGACAGGGATATGGAACTTTATCAGATCCTTCTATGGCACTTCTGTGATGATATGTTTTTTGTTTGTTTGATTTGGTTTCATTTTTTCAGCTGATAAGGTGGCAAATGAGACATGGAGAGTGCTCAACACTGCATGCTCACTTCCCTTCATCATGCTGATGGGGGCAGAGCAGAGAAGGTACCAAACCACCAAGAGTGTTTGCAGTGGGCTGTAGAAAATAGAACCTGATTGTAAACTGTGATTCTGTATGTCTGAAATGCTTTATAGTCACCATATATTGCTTAGATAATTAAAACAAATAAACAATAGGAATATAAACAAAGGTTAAGTAATTAATAGGATGAAAGCTTCACGATGTTTTATCCTGTTACAATTTCATGAGACACTGAAGTGTGCCAAATTGAGAATGAGCTGACGCTAGAGAATTCACAGAGGAGGCATTGTCACCTGCTCGTCACTCCTGTGGTAGTCATTGTCCTCCTCCTGCTTCTCTTCTGCTGTCTCTTTATTGGAACTGTCGTCTGCTTTGGTTTCACCTTTTAGCACAAATAGAAAATGTTGTACAGGTTGAAATATCTCTAATTCAAAATTCTCTAATCAAAAGTTCTAGTACGTTAAACTTTTCGAGGCATAAGTATAAACTTTTATACTTAACCCCATATGACAGGCTGTATGTAGAAAAAGGCAGAATTAAAATATTATATGCATCTTTTCCAAACTGAAAAAGATCCAATTCTGAAACACTTGGCTCCAACCATTTTGTACAAACAAAACCCATATTAAGAAATCCAAAATGTTTTATTTGTAAAAGTTCACAGTATACTAATGATGATGTTGACATTCACTCTAATGAGAGCCCAGTGATAGCAGTTAAAACAATTCTGCACATTTGTTAAGGAACTGAGCAACTCTGCAGTATGAGGCCCTCTGGCTGCAGCTGGGTGAAGCAGGTTTTGGATTATGTATCTCAAGGGGCTCAATGGATTTGGACTCAAGATGGAGAGACGGTGACCAAAGCACAGCAGAGACAAGCCTCCAGGACCACTCAGCACTCACCACAGCAACCTAGTTCTCTGAGTAGTCTAGCTCATGGACCCTTACTGTTTGGACACACACTCAAGACCAGATTTCCACTTCCATCTCCCCTACCCACTCCCACCCAAGCCTAGTCAGGCTCTCCTAGGGACCTGGGCACCAGCTCTCCTTAGGCTGTTAAGCATACACAGGGTGGTCTTGAGATTTCTTAGGAACCTACATGGTCCCACTAGCAAAGTACCAGTACTCAAGATTTGAATAATTTATTAGATACAGGCTTAAAAGCACGAATTAATTTTATGCTCAAATTCAACTGGCATTTGGGCTCTTTATCAAAAAGCAAGTAACGCTATAATCTTATCTTAAGGATATCCACTTTCTAGTTTTTTCCTAGGCCCTGTATCCAATTCTGTTCTCTTCCACATGATCCCTAGGCATTTTCTAGTATCTCTTGTAGTCTCACCCACATGTCCAGCTACCAGAGTTGATGAAGAGCCTTTTCAGCAATCATCAGAATATAGTCAAAACTGACTGACACTGATAGCGCACACCTTTAATCACAGCACTTGGGAGGCAGAGGCAGGCGGATCTCTGTGAGTTTGAGACCAGCCTGGTCTACAGAATGAGTTCCAGGACGACTCCAAAGCCACAGAGACACCCTATCTCGAAAAACCAAAAAAATATAGTCAAAACCATCTAAGCCTTGAGAAAAAGTGCTCTGTGAGGGAAACTCTGATAAATGAGCCTCTGAATTGCACAGTAGCCTAATGCAGCTACTCACCATTTCGGGGATCTAAGTGCTGTTTGGCTGAGCACGCCTCCCCCTTGATGTCACCTGGTACCTCCATGCCCAGTTTGTGATAGAATTCTCTCTGTTTCCTCATTTCCGCTATTAAGAATGGAGACAATTTTAATATTCAGTAGGATAGGACTTAAATAGTAAAACAGCTCACTACTGTCATACAAAGAAACTTGCCAAGTTAGATGATGAGTCTGAAGGATACTAGTAAGAAAACAAGTACAGGTCAGAACAGGAACCTTGATGCAATGTTTGAGAACACTGAGATCGGATACAGGTGTGAAGAACTGGTGCAACAAGACAGGCTCTGGAGCAGTAGGGATCCTGTAGGGACTATGACCCAACCTCCTCAGCCCTCTAGGATGTGTGGGGTTATTCATCACCTGGAGCATGACATATCCTAGGGAGGCAGTTTAAGGGACTCCCCAGAGTGTGACAGACCCTGAGGAGGTGGCTCAGATGACCTTCACCCATCACCACTGACAACCAGCTGCTAGTGCATCCCTATGCACTATATACCATTTTGGCACAGACAGCTCGACAATCCACACATGCTGCCATGTGTTCCCACTGTCCCTGAAGCCATAATGGTCACAATCTAGAACCATCTGGCTGCCAGTAAGTGCAAAAGAGCTCTCACTAAGATGAGGGTAGTAGATAACACCTGGAAGACAAGGACAGACCCAGAACCCTGTCCTGGAAGCCTGTGTTTGTGTGCCAAGGTCCCTGATCATATCAGAGACTACAGCAGTGCCCAGTGGCCATGCCTTCTTGTCCTGGGTGAAGACTGCCCCCAGTGGCTGCAGGAAGCAGTGGCCATGAAAGAAATATAAGAATTCATTCCAGCATACAGAGAAATTTTATTCTTAGAGGCAGGCATGTAGTCATGCTGCTGCCCAGGGTTGCAGATTATTGTGTTTCTCTGGATCATTATCCAATACAGCAGCATGATCTGTCCTTGGATGCAGCATACAACACCATTGGTTGATACATGCCCTTGGAGGAAATTATCAATTACACGAGAGCACCTTCTGACTTTCAGCAAAAGCTCTATCCATAAGGCTAAAACTCAGACCCTAATAACATGCATCAGATCCTGGCCACTGAACAGAACACACAGATGGCAAAGGAAACTTTAAATAATTTGCTCAAACCAAAATTCTACAAGTAACTCTGTAAAAGATACTTTACATGTAGTCAACCAAGAAATGCTTTATTAAACTTTTAAAATTTTTACTTAATTTTTTTTGAGACAGGGTCTCTCACTCGGTAGCACTGGATGGCCTGGAACTCATTGTGTAAACCAGGCTAGCCTCTAAGTCACAGAAATTAGCCTGCTTTTGCCTCCTGAATGCTGGAGTTAAAAGCATTTGCCATCATGACTGGCCTTATTAAACTTTTCATCTGTACATTTGTCTTTCCTCATAGACCTGGAACCCCTACAGAGCCTAAAACATGTTCTAGACATGCCGAGCCTGAACAAATGCTTTGCAAAATCTGACTGTATACATATAAACATATATAAATTGTGTACTTGGGTCAGAATAGGGGGCCTTTTAGAGTGGAAGGAATGAAGGGCTCAGCCCAAGAAATGCTCTTGGATCAGAAAGGCAGATCAGTGGTTAAAGATGTCTGTCACCAAGTGGGCCTGACAATCTGAGTTTGCTCCCACATGGCGGAAGGAGAACTGACTGCTGCAAGTTGTCTGTGATTTCTGTATCCAACCAGGGAACACAAGCAGCCCCACAGGTACACACATATACATAAATAAATAAATGAAGAAAGAGAGGTTCCTATATACAACCCTATGAAGGGCAGCCCTGAAACAGGAGCATGGGACCGTTTCTGACAAAGGGAGGAAGAGCTGCGACCTTAACACCAAAAGCAGAAACAACTCAGATTCTGTCACCATATTCACTGCCTGTTTCCTTACTTTTTATCTATCATAACAAAAAAGGATAAAAATAACAATACCCCAGTGTGTGGTTTGAATCTGAAATGTCTTCTGAAGGCTCACTCATTCTAAAGGTTGCCAATTATGGAGCTCTTGGGAGAAGATTGGATCAGGAGAGCTCTAACTTCAATGGATAATCTGAGTGTATTACTGAGAGGTGTAAAAGGCAGGGCCTAGCTGTAGGAAGTAGGTCCCTGGGCATGCTTCTAAAGAGCTTGCTCCTAGTCCTTCTTGCCTGTTTTTGCTCCACTGTTTCCTGGCCACCACAAGGTAAGCAACTTTGTTCTGCCAATGCCCTTCCATCGTGATATTCTTCTGCTTCACCATGGCCCACAAATAACTGAACCAGATGACCATGGACTTAAAACTGTAAACAGTATGACAAAACTAGTTCTCTGGGGTGTTGCTTACAGAAAAAAAAAAGGGGGGGACATATGTCCAATGTCAGGTATATACAGATACAGAAACACTCCCAGGAATGTCAGCACAAGCCTATTAATCCCAGCACTTGGGAGGCAGACACAGGTGGATCTCAATTGAGTTCAAGGCTAGCCAGAGCTAGTCAGACCCTATCTACAAACAAACAAAAACCCCACCAAAACAAACAAGCAAACAGATACAAAGAAAATGCAGAAAATCATAAAGACATGCTTTTAAAACCTGTACTCCACCAAATTGGAAAATGTAAAAGAAATGGATAATTTTCTCAAAATATACCACCTATCAAAGTTAAATCAAGATGAGATAAACAATTCAAACAGACCTATTACCCCTTGTGAAATGGAAGCAGTCATTAGAAGTCTCCCAACCAAAACAAAAAAATCCCAGGGCCAAATGGTTTTAGCACAGAATTCTACCAGACTTTCAAGGAAGAATTAATGTCAATACTCCTTAAATTACTCCATAAAATAGGAACAGAAGGAACAGATCAATTTCTCTTATGAACATGCAAAATTTACAGATAAAACTGCAAAACAAATCTAAGAACATATCAAAAAGATAATCTACTGTAGTAAAATATCCACCCCTGCCCCACTGTAGGATGAGGTCTGGGGTCGGGACCCAAGCTTTCTCTCTTGGTTCCGGTTGGGTTGCAGAGAGCAGCCTCTTTGGAGCAGGAACTTGCAGCGGTCATCTGTTTCTTGTGTAAGTGCCTTCTCCCCAAATAAAATTATATTAACCTGTATTGACCTTACTTCAGTGAATCTTGATCCACGAGTCCATATCTGGCACCCAACGTGAGGCACAAACCCAAGACCCTGAGATTAAGAGTCTCATGCTCTACTGACTGAGCTAGATAGGCATGGTCAGTGCTACCGGTGCGGCAGTGAGTGTTTATCTCACTACAATCTACCATGATCAAGTAGGCTTCATTCTAGAGATGAAGGGATGGTTCAACCCAAAACCACATGATCATCTCATTAAATGCTTAAAAAAGGCTTTTGACAAAATCCAACACCCTTACAAGATAAAAGTCCTGTAGACTAGAGATACAAGGGGCATACTTCAATACAATAGAGGTAATTTACAACAAGTCCACAGCCAATATCAACCTAAACAGAGTGAAACTCAAAACATTTCCACTACAGTAAGGAATAAGACAAGGTTATCCACTCTCTCCATATCTATTCAATAACCAGAAGTCTTAGCTAGAACAATAAGACAAACAAAGGAGATCAAGAGGTTACAAATGGAAGAAAAGAAGTCAAAGTATCTTTCTTTGCAGATGATACCATTGTATGCATAACTGACCTTAAAAATTCTTCCTGGAAACTCCTACAGCAAAGTAGCAGGATACAAAATTAACAAACAAAAATCAGTGATCACAGCATACAGAGATCTTCATGTACTTGGCTACATCCTTATAAAATTCTATTGCAAACGCTTCTGAAGATCTCAGCCTTTTATCTCGAGGTGTTGCTGTTTCCCAAAACTAACACAGCCTATGTATCACAGGAAGACAATGGAGAATCTAGAACTAAGAACAGACATGTGGGAAATGGGGACATTGCTGAGGAAGGGGCTTGGGTCCAAGAGCCAAAGCCCTAGCTATGGACTTGGGCTGAGCAGTGTTTCAACTCACCTTCCTGGAGGCCTGGTACCAGCTTGTAAACAATGTCCTGCATGGTTCTGTCATGACTGCAAAAAGAGAAGAGGTTAGTGGGGGAAGGTCAACCAATGTAAATGCTGTAATTATTTACATCTTCTATTTGACATCTTGAGGTTGGATTTTCCTTCTAGTTTGCAATGACAAACATGTTCTAAAAGTTATCTAGGACTTGAATTGATGCATCATTTAATTTAGGTTCCAGCTACTTAGAATGAAAAGGTCACTCTGGGAACAGTGCCTCCAGCCTGCTGAACAAAGGGTAGGCTCAACTTCCTGGGCACAGGCAGACATGAATGTGCAGAGCTACATTATCTACAATATGGTTCCTACGATAATTTGCTATTTTAAAGCATAAAATGTCAAGTAATTTCTTTTCTTGACTAAAGAGACAGAATTTCTTAATTTTCAAAGCCATTCTAATCCTTATTGTATAAACCTTTATGAATCCAGTAACTGTCCAATGATTACACTTCAACAAATGCACAGGAATCTAGCCAACCTGGGCTCAGTCCAGTGGCTACTTATGGGCAACTCCAACTGCAACTGTAGCCATCTAACTGCTGTAAGACCGTCACTCACTGCATGAACCAACTTCTTGTGCTTTGAAAGCCTTTGGCTATAAGGCCCACCTGTATATTTTAAGAGGTGGTCACACGGAGCTCCAAACCTCCTTCCCACTACCTAGACCAGTAAGCATGCACTCAGGTGCAAATTTGGACTTTGTAGATTGGGTACTGTGCTGACTGGTTTTTGCCAACTTGGCACAAACTGGAGTCACCTGGGAAAAGGGAACCTCAATTGAGGACTTGCTCCCACCAGACAGGGCCTGAGGCCAAGGGTGGGGATGGGTCTTAATTAGTGACTGATTAGGAGAGTCCAGCCCACTATGTGAATGTCACCTCTGGGCAGGTGGTCCACGATTATATGGGAAAGCAGGCTGAGCAGGCCACGGAGAACAAGCCAGTAAGCCCTGATTCTTACAGTAACAGTGATGAACTGCTACCTAGAAGTATAAGCTAAATAAACCCCTTCCTCCTGGGTCGGTTTTGATTAGTGTTTTATCACAGCAACAGAGAAGCAAACTAAGACAGGGCCCTTCAAGCATTTGATGCCCTAGACATACTTTACCACACCCGTTTAGCTTCTGCTAGAGCTCACAGATCAAGACCATGCTGAGTAGAGTTGGTAGTCAGAGCTCCAAACTTGAGTACGAAGCAATGATGCCAAGTTTTGTCTACGGTGGAGGCCTAGCAAGGGGACTAGTGGGAAACAACACAAGGTACTTTTTGGATGGAAGGCTCCTAGAATGGAACTGTTTTTTCCAAATGAGCATCCTCACAGAGGCTTGGATCATCCCTGCTACTTCAGGCTACACATCTTTCCACCCTAAATCTTGAGATGTAAATGCTGAAGCCAAGAAAACCTACATAATCTACATAATACCACAGGGCCCACAGGCTTCCTCTCCTTCCCCGCTGAAGTAGAGAATCAGGCAAGAGGTTGTGGTAGGTGGAACTAAGTCAGGAGCAGAGGATGGCACCATCAGCCATATCACCTGAGACAATTTCAGATGGAACCCAGACATCGCCAGTGAGAGAGGGGCTAAGAGAGTTGGGGATAAAGCTCAACTGGTAGAATGTTTGCCTTGCATTCACAAAGCTCTGGGTGTGATCCCCAGCACTGCATAAATGGGGTGTGATAGAACATACCTAATAATCTTAATTCTTAGGAGGTAGAAGCAGCAAGATCAGACGTTCAAGACTACATAAAACCCTGTGTCAACTAAACCAGAGAGAAAGGCTAAGAGCCTCCAGAGGTCAAGGGTTTATGGCAGACAGCAGCTGCTATCCAGCTCATAACTTAAGTCATAACCTTCAGGCCAAGACACCTCCCTGTTTCCTTTACTTATTCAACACCTGGTCCATTGCTGTGTTCTTCCTCCAATTCTCTTTCGTGTTTGCCCGGCAATCTAAGCTTGCAGGAGAGGATTTGCCCACAAGAGAGCTCTTTAGTGCTCTGCCTCTACAGCAAACTCCAGCAACCCTAAAGAGGGCAGCAATCTCCCCAGCCTCCAACCCCCAGGCCTAAGGAAGGCCCTCACCACTCATATCAGCAGCAGTACAAGTGGAGAATCTGCTTCTGAGCTCTACAGAAAACTGCACCCCAGAGAGAAAGACGGTAACACAGTAGAGAGCCATCATGGTGACAAATCTAAAAACCTACCCCCTATACAGGGTTGGCCAGAACACAGTGCATAGGAACTTGGTTCAGGAGTCAATGGGAATTTGGACAGAAGTTCTTTAAATCAGATCTCCCCATCCATTCTACATGTGGGACACTGGCAAGGGACTCAGGACAGTACTTAATACCAAGAACTGCTAGACACTTTCATATGTCCACCACATAGGACATGTAGACTATGAGGTCTGTTCCAGAGATTGATTCTATGAACAGATAATTTGGCAATGACGTTAGGCACACAGAAAACACACTCTCATCTCAGGGAGGGATGAGTAGAAACAGTGGCATCAGTAGTGCTGGAAGTCTACCGGGGCTTCCAAACTCAGACAACTCAACTTGAACTGCTACTGAGCTATGACTGGGAGATGCTATACAACTTTAAAGTGAAAAACAAATGCCTTTTCCTCTTAGTTAATTTTCTATGATTCCCTCATGTCATTTGTGACTTAATTTCCTTCAGAGTGACCTTTGAAATCAGAAATTCTACTTACAGGCCCTTGCTTCCTTGGCTCAAATTCCAGCCCAGGGGGAAGTTACTACTCTAAAGAAAGGTAAGTGTGAGGTGCCTTCTACTTCAAACTTTTAGTTTAAGAAAACTTATAAGATTCTAATTGTTCTCATGGTCCCTCCAGGGCAGATGCTACTAGACATCCATCAGCATGGCCCCGGTCACCGGTACTGTAGTATCTGGGGGCCAAGAACAAGGCGGCTACTACCATGCAGATGTATGGACATGACAGCTAGGGAGCACCAGCCCATGTTATTACTCACCCAATATACTGTAGTGGGTGGCTCTGATGGATCACGATCCTGCAAGTGGGGCAGGTATTATTCTCCTCCAGATACTTCACCAGGCAGCTCCTGCAGACTATCCAAAGGGAGAGGATGACAGCAACCCAGAAGAGAGGTGCTAGCTGGTACCATGCCTGGCCAACTCTAAGAGGGCTAAGAGGGCACTTGCACAAACAACCTCCTTTATATAGTTCCTGACCTCTGAGAAGACGGTGCCATTGGGCTGCACTGTGCGGTTACTACCTGTTATACACTCCTGGCCTGGAAACTAACTGGAGAAGAAACACCAAGGAGTGGTTGTCTAAGTCACTATGTGGCAAGATCATGAGAATATAACTGATATTTAAAATCTGCATTTTGAGGCCGGGTGGTGGGGGGTGGGGGTGGGGTTTGGCATCACATACCTTTAATCCCAGCACTCAGGAGGCAGAGGCAGGCAGATCTCTGTGAGTTCAAGGCCAGCCTGGTCTCCAGAGCGAGTGCCAGGATAGCCTCCAAAGCTACACAGAGAAACCCTGTCTCAAAAAACCGGAAAAAAAAAAAAATCTGCATTTTGGCCTAAAAGATAAAACTGTCTTATACATCAAAACTAGGTAAAATTCAGTGAAATGGCCTAACAAAATTGTACCACCAATTTCTAACAATTCAACTAATCTTAGCCTAAAAATTCTTTGAAAGTGAAAACATTTTTAAAATGCAAAATGCAGAGGATGGAAGTCATATGTGTTGGTCATTAGATGCGCCTTCATGCAGTAGTCATGCCTCCAAGTGATCCACATAGGACATCTGTCTTCCAGTGAGACAGAAAAAAAAAAAATCTTAGGGGGGTTGGAGAAATGGCTCAGTGGTTAAGAACACTTGATGCTCTTGCAGAAAACCTAGGTTCAGTTTCTAGAGTCCATGTGGTAGTCTACAACTGCAACTCTAGTTGGTCAGGAACCAATCCCTTCTTCCAGCCTCTGCTGGTACTGCAAGCATGTAATACACATACATAAACTCAGGCTAAACACTCGCAGATATAAAAATTATAAAATACCTAAACTAACAATAATATAAAGAAAAAAAAAACTATCCTGAATAGATCCAGGCCCGACAAGCAGAATGAGTAACAGGCAATAGGCACCATGATGAACCTTGAAATCCCACAAATGCTTGACTGTTAAAAAGAAAAGACTTCACCAGAAATTTCACAAGTACCTCCCTGCTAGAAAAGAGTATCACTACACCACTGGCCAATCTGGTAGACACAAAAAAAAAAAAAAAAAGAAGAAAAGAGAAGAAAAGAAAGAAAGGAAGGAAGGAAGAAAGGAAGGAAGGAAGGAAGGAAGGAAGGAAGGAAGGAAGGAAGGAAGGAAGGAAGGAAGGAAGGAAGGAGCGAGTGCCAGGATAGGCTCCAAAGCTACACAGAGAAACCCTGTCTCGAAAAAAACAAAAAACAAAAAACAAAAAAAGCAAGCAAGTTTTCCTTTGTTCAGCTTTCCTGACAGAAACTTCCCTCCAGGGAGTTACCTACAGCATCCCTAGTTTAAGGTAAGTTTTCCAACCACCCCTCAAGATCTTTATCCTCCTGGCCCTGTGCTAGAGCAGCCCCTACCCCATTTAGATCAGAGTAGAACTGGCTATACTCACATGTGTGCAAACACTCAGTCACTGTAGTTGCGTCAATGAGGTAGCCGCTGCACAGGCGGCAAGTGATGTGGGCGTTTATGTCCCAGAGTTTAATCTTCCTGGTCAACATCTTTGGCTTCTGCAGGAGAATACACTGAAGTAATGTGATGACTAATCTAGGTTGTCAACTTGACTACATCTGGAATTAACTAAAACGCAAGTGGCTGCCTATACCTGTGAGGAATTTTTTTCTTACAGTAGGAAGACCCATTTTCTTTTGAGATAGGAAGATCCACCTTTAATCTGGGCCACAAAAGGACACAGAAGGAAGCCTGCTCTTTTTGTCTACTCTTGCTAGCAAATCCATCCCTTCACTGGCACTGGAACCTACTCCTTTGGGATTCTAGTGTATACTGAAGACCAGTTAAGATATCCAGCCTCATGGACTGAAAAACTACTGGATTCTTGAACTTTCTGTTGGGAGTCAGTCATTGTTGGACTAGCTGGACCAAGTTTCCTTCCCAGTTTGCCTTTCCTCTACTCATAGATGAAGCAAGTGTAAGAACCCTTCCCATCCTTTTTGTTGGACACACGGCCCATCTCTCTTCATCCCATCATTGAATAATGACCTACCTCAGACCTCAGTGGTGAGTGGAGCTTGAACTGCCACTAAACTGTCCCAGAAAAACACAGAGCCTGATGGGAAGCTAGATTAAATCCTGTGGACCCAACTTTATGAGCAGCCACTCTGACCTGGACCTGCCACATGGCCTTCCAACATTATAGCTGGTACCTGGGTCCAATCCTACCTCAGGGATTAGCCACCCTCACCCTTGTACTTTGTATGAGAGAGAACAATCAATTAGATATTTACTCAATGCCACAGGAAAACTAACTTATGACACTTCTATCACACCAAGTCATCATCTAGACAGACCCTGCTGAGCTCCAGGCTCACCAACCGCCCCTTAGCATAGTATGACCACCTCAATGCCTTGTAGGGCTAAGCGTGGTCATACAGCCCCAGAAAAGTCCATCTGGGCCATGGTACCATTTCTAGCTATGCACCTCTCCTAGGCAACTGCCTGATGAATATTATACACCTACCCCACCCTCAACTAGTGATACTCTAGAGAAACAGCATGCAGAGTATAAAAAGGGCCAAACTCCTCACTCTTCAGACAGAACCCAGACCTCCCTCCCCTAGACAGCATGGCCCCTTAGGGGAATCCCAGATCTCACCTCCTCTGGATGTCTGTGAGTCCTTCCTCACCCGGTGGCATGGAGGCTTCAGGCCACCAAGTGGATGCGATGATCCCTCCTTACTCTGTGTTCTCGCTGGCTTCTGCACCTTCCTTCTGTCCCTTGTTCCTTTCCCATTTTCTAGCACAAAAATGGAACTGTTAATTCAAAGCACACTGATGCCAGTCCTGCATACAATCCCACATTAACCCTTTACTACATCTTAGATAAGTTCTTTTAATTTAATATTAAATCAAGGGCAGAGCACACTGGAAATGCTGGAAGACAATCAAAAGCCACAAACAACTCCACAGTCAGTTGTTAGAGACCAAACTCCAAGGAAACATGAGGTGGCCACCATTCTGAGTCATAAGCAGCCAGAAAGGAACATTAGCTTCAGCTATGCTTACCTGTGAATGACAGCCTGGAATCGGGGCTACATTGTGAAGTCTGTGGAGAAGCAGAGACAGGTGTCACCATGGGAGGCTCCTGTTTCACCCTAACCCCCTAGCAATTCTCAGTACTGTTTGGTTAAACATGTCTGCTCATTTATTTGCTGTACGTGTACGTGAGAGTGATGGGAAAGAAGGCGGAGAATCTACCAGAGTTCCTGAGCCCCACCCAATCCAGAGCAAATACACAGTTTACGGTGTAAGGGAAAGAAAAAATGGTTCCACTGCTTACTTTGGGGCCCAAAACTAATTACATACAACCTGGAAACGATGTGCCATAACACGTCCTGGAATAATGAACTTGGTCTTAAATGCAACTCAGATAATTTCACCTTTAAAAATTTTCCAGAACTTGATTTTTTTAAGAGTTTTTATATTTACATGTACATGTGGGCGCCCGCCCGCGTGTGCGTGTGCGTGTGCGTGCGTGCGTATGTTGTGTGTGTATAGGTGTCTTGCAGAGGCCAGAAAAGGGAACTGGACTCCTTGAAGCTGCAATTATAGACTGTTATGAACTGCTTGCTATGGGTGCTAAGAAAGGAGCGTGGGTCATCTGTGAGAACAAGTGTGCACTCCTGACCACTAGGCCTTCTCTCCAGCTTCAGAACCACATGGATTTATTAACTAATCAACCCAGGAAACTTGTACAAAATGAAGATGGGAAATGGGAAGGTATAAGAGAGAGTGTGTGTGTCCTATCGGGCAAACCAAGGGAGGAAATATTTAGAGGAAGAGGTGGAGCCAGCGCAATGCCAGGCCTATCTTAAACTAGCCCCTGCCTAGTATGGAGGTCTCACCAACCATTTAAAATCACTGTCCCTTGAAACTTGGTGGCTCTTGTGACAAAAAAAACAGAGCTTGGCATTCATTCATTCATTCATTGCTTTGAGACAGAGTTCCACTATGCAGCTTTAACCGGCCTAATACTCCCAATGGACCCCAGGCTGACCTCCAAGTTACAGCAATTCTCTTGCCTCAGCCTCTCAAGTGTTGGACTGAAGTATAAGCCTCTATACATGGCTAACTGTATTTAATTCTGGTGCTGGGGTTATTAAAGGTGTGTGTCACCACTCCTGGCTTACATGTAATTTTTTAAAATGAAGTTTGTATGAAATGGATAAATTCCTAGGGGGGCGGTGCGGGGGTGGTGAAAAACTGAGTTGAAACTAGTAAAGAAAACCCAAAATGTTCACTATCATAGGATCTGAATAAGTAGTCACAAAATTTTTCATGGGTTGCCAGGCAGTGGTGGTGCACGCTTTTAATCCCAGAACTTGGGAGGCAGAGGCAGGTTTCTGAGCTTGGTCTACAGAGTGAGTTCCAGGACAGCCAGGGCTACATAGAGAAACTTGGTCTCAAAAAACCTAAATAAATAAACAAACAAACAAACAAACAAACAAATAAAGTTCTGGGTCTGTCACTCTACCATAACTGAGAACAAATCGCCTTTCAGGTAGCTAAAATACTTGGGGTCAGAACATGCACCTCCCAAAGGGATCTCTAACTCACTTTAATTTAAAAAAAAAAAAAAAATCTAATGTGCATTCCTGTTTTGCCTGCATTCATGTCTGTGTGAGGGTGTCAGATCTCCTGCAACTGGAATTACAAACAGGTATGAGCTGCAATGTTGGTTCTAGAAATTGAACCCGAGTCCTTTGGAGGATCAGACAGTGCTCTTAACCACTGAGCCATCTTTCCAGCCACTCTAACTTACTTTATGAAACTAGCCATACACCAAACGCTTAGCAAGGTGAGACATGAAAGAAAACTAACAGACCTACCTGACCCCAAGCAGAGCATTGCCCACCCTCATCTAGTATATGAAGGTAGAGTCCTTCAGGACCAAGCTAGATGTATTCCAGGGGTACAGGTAGGCAACTATACAAGGGAAAACATCACAAATGGTAAAAGTAGAACACACGATCATCTCAACAGACATGTAAAAATGATTTTATAAACCATCCGTTCATTATTTTTAGGAATCCTAGACGTCTGTAAGGAAGCACTTTTAACCCTGTTGAAGGAGACACCAGCACATGACTGCTCAACAACTCAGATGTGAACAATTACAAGTCTCAGATGATGGTGACTGTGGGGTGCCCATCAGGAGGCAGCCCAGAAGAAGATAGGGCCCCATGCAGCAGCTGCTCCTTGGAAGTGAGGAAAAGAAGGGTGCTCCCAGCTATGCAGGGCTACTTGTAGAAGAAAACTGCCCACAAAGAACATAACAGAGCCATTCTCATGGGACACAAGATTCCAAAAGGGTGAGCTGCCTGCTATGGACTGGCCAGCAAGGGTGGCCCATGGGTCTCAGGAAGAGGCTGTGAGTCCCTATTACACAATAAATTGATGAAAAGAGTATCTTACAATATAAAACAAATGACAGACATGACATACTCCTAGTGGTAGGGTGGCACCAGATCACACTTACCCACAATCCCTCAAGGAAATGCTAACATTCAACACTGTGTGGTGCCATGTTCAGATGCCAAGTATGTCAGGGGTATTTATTATCTTTCCTAAATCATGATTGCATAACATGGCTCTATTATTATGAACTGAGATGCACATATCTACAACATATTAGAATTGCAATAGGGACTAGGGCTTAGCAAACTGAAGTCCTCAGGATGGAGTGGTTTTGCTGCTCTGCTTAGTGTCATAGGGCCAGCCATGACAAAGAGAAACTTGGTCCACTTCTGCTCTAAATGATGAAAAGAGATTCACTAAAGAAAAAAAATTCAAATTAAGTGGATTTCAGCTGATCAACTTTATTACTAAACTGGGAAGTATAAATTAAAAATCCAATGAAACTCACAAAATGGAGAGTGCTGGTAAGTATTAGGCCATGGTACCAAGTACCATGAGTGTACAGTGTTGAGAGAAAAAGTTGGTTCTCTGTGGTAAAGGCAACATACACACTGCAAACTCTGTACCAGTGTTTTCTGGAGGCCCCAGCACTCAAAAATTAGCTAAGTATCAGTACCTCTATCAAATCATGTGGCCAAAATGGCCAGCCTGGTGTCATCTCCAGGCCTTCTAAGAATCACATATTTTGATTTTTTGGTACATTGCACATCATCACATCCGTGCTCACAAAAACAGCATGCACATGGACAAGGCAAACCATAACAACAATGGGGTAGAAACTACCAGGCAGGCAGGCAAGCAGGCTGGTCACTTGTCTTCATCTACTGCAGGGTGGATGCCATGTTCTATAGTCCCAATGACTCACATACGTGCCCTGTGCACATTTATGGATGAGGGAATAGAAACACAGAGGACTCATATTTCTTGTAAGCAAATAGTGTCCCTGCTACGGCAGGTTGGGACCAGAATACTTCTTCCCCTTCTGCACATTGCCTAGCGTGTGGGATCTACCCAGTAGACTCTCCAGGGATGGGGTTCACATGCCTTAACTTTAGTCAACATCCAGTCATAATAGTCTAAGTTTATCCCAGTTTTGTGATATGCAAAAATATGAATGATAACTAAAACTGGAAAATATGGCTCATAAGACATTAAGTTCTGCACATAAAGGTGCCTGTTCCCATGCCTGGCAACCTGAGTTCAATCCCCAGGACCCACATGGTGGAAGGAAGGGACGAACTTCCACAAGTTGTCTTCAGAACGCCACGCATGTCCATCCAAAGTAAATAAAATATAACTTTGAAATGCTTTTAAAACCAGAAAATAAAACTTCTCTTAATCGTGGCTCCAGATAATGTAATAGAAACTTCTAGCCATGCAATCCAGGTGCTGTGCTCATCAGAAGATGAGACAACCATTAAATCCAAGCTGGCAAGATGTAGTCGTTGTCCCGAGACTGCAGTTCAATTGGTGATTGCCTACCCAGCATGAATTCAATCCCCAGCACCATACAAAGCCAGGCATGGTGATACATGTCTGTAATCCCATCACTTGGGAGGTGTAGGCAGGAAGATCAGAGAAACTCAAGGTCATCCTTAGCTATGTGAGTCTGATGGCACTCTGGGTTACAGAAGATCCTGCCTCAAAAGGAATGATACTGTCCTCACTAAAATCAGTAACACAAGCCTATTCACCTGTGGGTAAGATCAAGGTAGAGACACCATCAGATCTATGTCTTAGGCACCACTGATTACATTTCAAGCTGGTCCCTAAACAGTTCAGGCCTAATATATATTAATACTAAAAGAAGAGTTTGTTTTTTGTTTTGTTTTGTTGTTGTTGTTTTTCGAAACAAGGTTTCTCTGTAGCTTTGGAGCCTGTCCTGAAACTTGCTCTGTAGGCCAGGCTGGCCTCAAACTCACTGAGATCCACCTGCCTCTGTCTCCTGAATGCTGGGATTAAAGGCATGCGCCACCGCCGCCGCCGCCGCCGCCACCGCCACCACCACCACCACCACCACCCAGCAAAAGCATAGTTTTTAACAATTTAAAAACAAAACAGATCTTTTCCAAATAAGCCAGTTATAAGCCTTCAGCTGTTGACAACTGTCTTTCCCATCTCTTTCTGCTCTACAACCTACCCAACACAGTGCTGTTCACTACACGCTCTGTGTTGACAGACTCTTTCCTTGTGCACTGACCCTTTCTGTGGTGGTCGGCTGTTATCACTGGTATGGTTCTTACATCCAAGACCACTACCCTCCTGCCTGCCTCTCTTGTCACTCCAGTCTCTTCCAGAACTTCCTGACATCCATGGGAGTCTTGCAGAGGTTCCTCCCATGGTTAACAGATGGAACATTATCCTTCACTCAATAGGTTATAGCAAGCCATTGGCAGGTAGGCGTTTCCTACACAGATTTGAATTTTCCCAGATTAAGCTGGGTGCTGAGCTTTAACACTATACCCTCCCAGGCTCCCACAATTATATACTTCCTTCAATTTGTGCTGAAACTGTGGCTTTCTACGATCTGGTACTCCACCTGGTCAGAAGTGCGTACGCTATCAGTCTCCAGTGACAACCACTGGCCTTGGGAGCAAGTATAATCTCCAATGTGTCACCAAAGACAGA